GCCCACCCTCCCACACCATGGGGGGCCGAGGGGCAAAATGCCCATAGAGCCGGAAGCACTTTGGCACGTGAGCCGCAAAAGAGTGTGGTCAAGTGCTGTTAGGATGCCAAAGTGCTTTCTTTTCTCAGCTTCTTTCGAATTGTATTGTATGCCATTTTTCATGCTGGCCTGCGTGAAGTGACGGCGATGTGTTTGCGCCACAACTTGCAGGAAGCCCGAGAGCATCAAGTCACCTTTTGAGTCGTTGCTCCTCTACTTGGACCTGGCCATGAGCAGGCAGCGCACAAAGCGCACCTTGTTCCGTACGGTATGGGCTGTGGCTGGCTCTGCGCTAGCTGACGATGCAGGCGCTCGCCAGATTCGCTTGACTACCGTGTCCTCACTCCGGTCGTCAGCGTCTATGCAGACTTCTTGGAGGCTGGCGTTGTTTCGATTTTGGGCAAGGCTTCCAGAGACGATGCAAGGCTGGGTGGACGCCGACGTATGAGGAAATGGAGGTTCGCCCCAAATATGGGGCCACCTCGCTCAGGGACGCAACAAATGCAGGACCCGGACTACTTTGCATGGCCCGTTGTCAAAGTTGAAACACGACACTGCAGGAGCCAAAAACTCAGACTTGTGTCGGTTTGCGCTGCTTTTAGTCAACTCCACGGACCCATTGATGAGAGCAGCATGCCGCGCACCTGGAAGCGGGCGGAAGTGGTGGTGTAGGTTGCAGATCTCAGCTGATCGATTCGTTGCGCGAAATTGAGGTATCCGGGCTATCCGTGTGCTGGGTGGCCTCCACGCAACCAGACAGGCAGTTGACCTCAGCAAGCAATGTGCCATGGCTTCAAGGCAGTCGGCCCGCTCGAAGACAACCGGCCCAGAGCTTACAAGATGAGCCGAACTTTCACTTGTTGCCTTTGCCGTGTTTGACCACTACTGCAGGGGTCAGTTGGTCGAGACCAGGTGTTGGGCAGCGGCGGAAGTAGGGCAGTGCAGAGTTTATGAGTTGGCTTGTGCTGCATACGCCCGAGGCCACAAGGCACTTTGCCGGATCTGCCCATTGGCAGTGTGGATTGTTCCAGATGGGGAAACGGAGGGTGGGCGCCTGGAGGGGTGAGGGCTGGAGAGAAATTCCGGGCAGAATCCTGGGAAAGTGGGTGAGCCAGTGGCGCGGGTGCTGGGTGGCGCACTGTGCAGCACCAAAATCTGAACCCTCAACTCAATTTTCTCAGGCGCAAGAACATATCCAGTCGAGGGTGCCAACCGAAGGTCCTTAGATCAAAGCCGCCCTGGCGCCGTGCCGGTGGTCATAAGCATATGTTGCAACTTGTTGCAACACTGCGTCTCCTGACCTCACTGAGATCCTTCACATCACTCGCTTCGAGCCTTGGTTGCTGCAAGTTGTTCGGCAGAGAAGAGTCTTGCACTTGCCCGAGTGCAGCGCAAACTGGCTGCACAAGGTGAACATCTGCATGCTGCCGCCGGATCCAAAGACACAAAAGCCGTATCAGGGACTTCCACCGCAGGGCCTCTCCATAGCCTTGCCCAGGATTGCCACAAAATGATTTTGCATCAGCATGACATGTCTGGCGTGGGTCCCCAAATGGACTGAAGCTGTTGAGAGGAAGTCTTTTCACTTGGCACCATTTGCCTACTCGATGTGGCTTTATCTACAAGATGAAGTGGTGGAGCCCTTAGTTGCCAGCTTGGCAGTGGGTTCTCCTTAGTTCTAAACCATGCCGGAAGGTTCGCAGCGAGTCTGGCACCAGGACGGTAGCGATGCTTCTGAATCATTCGCTTGACGATTTTTTCTAGGCCTCGCCTGCAGGATCTTCCACATCATGAGCCACACCACGCCAGCGAGCACCGTGCCGCAGATTCAACTCTTTCTCGCCCCAGGATGGGTTGTGATCCCAAACCATGCAGACTAGCTCTAGTCTTTCGGCACTACATGCAGGAGGTGACAAGGACTACAGCGCGTGTCGCTTCGAGGTCCGCCTCGGTTCCTGCATCAGCAAACAGCTCCCTTCAACGTGAAGTCCTGTTGACCGAGCATCTGAGGCGAGAGCCACTTCGTGCCAAACGAGGGCACAGCAGGCCTCAAGCGGCATTCCTGGGCTACCTGGCAAACGGCAACGCCGAACTTTCAAGGGATAATGCCACAAGTGGTCTCTGCGCAATTCAGCAGTTGCAGATTCGAACGTTTCGCAATGCTCCGTGTGAACTGAGGCGCACGTTTGTCTGGTTCTGGGTCGGAGGAACATAATCCTGTATGTCAACGCAGAGGTGGCAATGGAGAAGGACTGCTTGAAGCAAGACAAGCAGATACCAAGTCGCAAAACACACGGGATGTGATATGTGACTGGCCAGGAAACCTCAGGCATGCAGCAATTCTCGAACCTTCGCGGGCCACAGCGGGGTACCTGCTATGTTGGGATACCACCACCAGATGTGGCAACTAGGCTGACCATGCAGCGTAGCATATTGGGGAGAGTGGATGAAGGCAGCAATATCTGTCAGTGCAGCAGGTAGAAGGCATTTGCGTTGCCTTCCCACGTAGCATGCCTTCTAGGGCCTAGGGCCAAATGTTTTCTTGAAGCAGCATGCTACAAAGCTGTTGGTCAAAGGTCCCTTACCATGCCATGAACTGGTTCTTTCCTGGCTACATCTTTGATTTGTCCGGAGCTCATAGTGGGTAATGCAATCCTACGAGACAGCCGTGTCTATGGCTGCTGAGGGCATACCATGATGAGGGGCTGAGTGCATCACAAGTCCAAGTGCTCCATGCGGGAGGCCTCAGCTCGCAGCAAAAATGCAGCAAGCCCTGTAAGTCATATGATCTCTGGGCAGGACGTCGTGCACTTCCGCTCAACCTCTCGAAATTTGAATCTGCAGAGGATACAGAGTGGCATGACTGAGCCAGTTGAACACTGTGATGAACGTTTATGGAAGGAGTTGCAAATTTGGCCATCCCACGGCAGGTCATGCTGCATCTTCCCCTACATGCATATGAAACCAACTCCACTGAACTGGCTGGCCGAGAGCCCGGGCAAAGTGCGCTGTCTGTATGGGTTATGTGCTCTCAAGAGCTGTCAGGTCACTAGCGACGTGTGGGAGAAGCTCGAGGGGCCAATTCTCGGCCTGCTGGCTTCAAAGGCTCCACTGGGCTCCCGCAAGCCGCTGTGCTTCAAGGTTCGCTCCCTATTGTGTGTCCAGGATCACTTGATGAACGAGACAGAGGTGGCTCAGCTTGGACTTCATCAAAATTGCTCGCGAGCCATGCGCTTTGGTTGAGCAGGTTGACGAGTTTCAGCTGGAAGCTGTGCGCACTTTGCGCTCCGCAGCCAGCAATCTCTTAGCAGCCTGCTTCGACCTGGACGAAGCTCAGCAAATCTCAGCAAGCGCTTGCTCAAGTTGTTTTGTGTTGTTGTTGTTGTTGTTGTTGTTGTTGTTGTTGTTGTTGTGCCCTCGCCTACTTCGTGCGATGAGTGACCAGCATCGCCCATGTACCTGCATGGACACGTTCAGCAGCTCGTGCATGCTCGGAATAGTTGCTGGGACATTGCTTTCCGGCTTATCTCTGTGCATCCCCTTTTCGTTTGAGGAGGTTTGCAGCCCCCGGCTGCGACAATGGGCAGTGAACTTTGCTCAAGTGAAGCCGGACACCCAGCTTGGCAGATGCAAAATCTTATATTGCCCAGAATGATTGGTCTTGCCTTGGATCTGCCGAGACGCATGTGAGGGCACATGCCTTTTCACATCTTGAGAATCAACCTCAATTGTATGCAAAGCCACTCGACCCCGAAGAGCCGGCCACGAGGCCTCTTGGAACTTGGGTGAGAAATAGTGGCCACTCCACCAACTAAAATAGCTGGGGCCAGTGAAGATCAGCGCCTTAGTTGGCTTGCTCAGCTCGTGCCATAGCCACGTCTTTCGACAGATTGAGCTATCCATAAGCCGGAAGCTGCAGTAGGTAATGTAGCGGCTATCTGGCATCCTGATAAGCCTCCAGGGAAGTCTTGCTTCCGAGGCTGCAAGTGCCGCCGGTAATCAAACTCCACTTGAGCCTCGGCACTTGGATCAGTCCTCACCTTCAGGTTGCAGTCACATGAGTTGTTCTGAAGATTTCTGAATGTGCGAGGGTTGTCCTGCTAGCCTAGCAGGCCTCATCATTCGTTCTGAGGAATGATGAGTCCTTCTCGTTTGAATTCAAGCTGCGGTTTCGACAGCCATTTGGCATGAAAAGAGAGCATCTTAGCATCTGCTGAAGAGCTTGCACCTATTTGAGGTATAGTAACTTGGAGGAGGGAGCCAAAGTCCAGACCATCATGGCCAACGTCAACGAGAAGCCTCTTGGACTTCATGCAGTATTTGCACACGCATGAGAATTGTATGGATAGTTACAGCAGAATCAGCGTTCTGAGGCGAGTAGCATCTTCAGCTCAAGCTGATGCGCGAGATCAGTTCAGAATCTGTATCGAGAGCTTGGCGAGCACCACGAATGACCCGGAGAAAGAAGCTTACCTAGAAAGCAGCGTGCGGAGACAGTTGGGGCTGTGTTTGTTGAGCTGCCAAGGAAGGCATGTATACAGGCTGCTTGACTTCACGTAATTGAAAGCGTAGATAGGCAACCATGGCCATCGTACAGGGCCTGGAACCTCATTCATGTCATAGAATGCTGATACGGGCTTCCTTCCCTTCCTCCCATCAAGCTGGGCAGGGCTCACCTAGAACGGGTCTTGATGAGGGCCGCTGCGTGGGTGCAGGCATTAGCATTGCATCGTTTACCAGCTGTTGCAGCAGGTTCAGACACGAAGAATTGTTGGTACCTCACCTTCGTGTACTTCCAAAATGTCACACAACTCAAGCTGCTCGGCTTGATGAGCTGTGCATAGCTGTGCATAGCTGTGCCAATTGGATTTCAACTAAGCGCCATCTTCTGAGAGCTAGGGCCGCTAGGGGTGGTCACATTTGTGTGTCCCGCTGGTCCAAGGTTGCCTCCCCAAACTGGGCCTGATGGTTGGCTGCATTGCACAATTGGCTATGTTCCTTGGACAACTCAACTTAGTTGCAAGTGCAGATGAGAGCTGCAATCACCAGAGCTGTGACGATCGTTCTGGCGAGGTAGGTGATGAAGGTGGCAGTTGTGAGCTTGATAGGTGGACGGGAAAACAGAATTGGCTGCGGCGTGGGATGGTGAGGAGCCACGAATCACCATCGAGAGCTACACGAAAGATCCATGGCTTGGCTTACCGCTGAGCTTGCTATGTTTTGATTCTCAGCCTTCCGTGCCTTTTGCTGGTTAAGGACATGTTTCGCACCGAAGCCTATTTGGGATGTGAAGTGCAAGTCACAGGAAGCAACCTTGCTGCACTTAATCGCAAACCCGTCATCAATCTTTGTTGCGCGCTGCATCCGCTGCCGGAATGTGCATGTCAGGTGTGAAGAAAATCTGCAACCAGCTTCTTTGCGACCTTGCGTATGTACGCGTTTGGGACAACTACGACCTTCAGCTGCAAACACGTCAGTTTGCATGTACAGGGCTACCCAATTTTGCGGCTTCACAATGCGTGTATCAGGAGCCTGCTGAGAAGCTCAACAAGGAGTTTGCAGATGCTGGAGCACCCAATGCCATGTTGGTGGCTGGGAATCAAGCTGTTTTCGTGTGCTTGATGCCCATCATTCATGAGGACGGGTAGCGTGATCAAAACACACAACCGAAGCCCATCAACTCGGGAAGCCTCAAGCCCATGCCCATTCATTTGGGCAAAGCGTGCGCGAGGACCGCGGCTACATACTAGACGCTGTGCCAATGTCTGCAGAAACTGGCCCGGCAGTTGCAACAACATCAGCTGCACAAAAGTCAGGAGCCAACCTTTCTGTCGATACTGCGGTAACTTGCAATGCTGCATCGGCTCTTGCCACCATGCTCTGTGCCAGGACCGAACACAAAAGTGTTTCCATCCGTGCGATCTCGCTGCTCGAGGGAACTGGCAGAGTCGTCTCGGCAATCCGATCATTTCGGCTCAACTGAGGATACAATGTGTCTCTGCAATGGCCGGGATGTCTCTTCTGCTCGCAAGATTACGTGCCGCAGCTTGGACGCATGGACCTGCTTAGTACCTTGGGCTTTACTTTACAGCTGTTTCTGGACCACTGGGACACACAGGATTTACACTGCTCCCCGGGCCATTTCGGATGGTTTGGTACTGCAGGACGGCTTACTGCGGCTTGTTTGCATTCTCGACGCTTTTGTCTGAAGGTTCTTCCGTCTGTAATCCTCTGGAAGACACGAAGCTTGCTGGCTACATGTGACATTCGCAATGTAGGACAGACTGCAAAATCCTCAGGGTCGCATGAAGTGGCAGAGAAGCCAGGTATGTTGTTTGGAATGGAATTGCATGACCAAGTTCGGATATGCGGCACTTTGCTTTTGAATAGACATCATCATGGGAGCAGGATTTTGTGCAGATGTGTTTGCAACCGGTTGCATGTCACAAATCTTTTATTTACTGATGTAAAGTGGAAAGAAATCAAAGACAATACAACGCACGCCTTTTTGTGCTGCCAGGCACTTTTGCTCCGCCGTTGCTAGGGGCTTTTGGTCCGTCACACTCTTGCACGTCGTTACATTGCACGGATGCCTCTGACGGGCAGTCTTTGATCCAAGCTCCGGCGTTGGTTCTCTGACTCATCCCTTTCATTCCCTGTCAATTATCCGGCTCGGCTTCAGGCTCTAGGAGTGGGGTTCAGGGGGTTGGAGGGTTTCGATCAGATTTCAGGTTTGGGTTCCAGGAGGTGCCACTGCCCTTGCCAGCTAGGCTGAGGTGGCCCTGCCTTGGCCTCGCCTGCGTGCCTCAGCCCAACCGTCTTTTGCCAACAGACCTGAAAAGCAGCGCTGCAGCGCACAAGTCCGATGAAATGTGCACGCACCACTGCCGCGGCTCACTCCAGTTTCAGCCCGAGGTGGGACAGCGAATTTATCGCGAGTCATTCCAGAGTGTAATATGGAGTTACGTTTTGCGAGCCCCAATTCCTGAACGAAGGTCTGGGCATGCTGGTCGTAATGACTCTCTACGTCGCGACATCCTCTGGCTTGGAGGTAGAAAAAAGAGATAAGTTTGGTCGTGATTTAGAATGGGCCCACCTCTCAAATGACCGCTCTCATAGCAGTGCAGGTTCAATCACGTACTGGCTTAGCCAGCGACCTGATGTGCAGACCTTTACTGATGTCAATGCTTGGGCTGACAATCGAACACATCGGCTCCAGAAGCATCTCATCCCACGTGATCAGGCCATTTTGGAGGCATACGGAAACAAACGGACCAAGCCCGTTGGCCCCAAACCGCCCACTATTGTTGAGTTTTTCGCGCATTAACATACCACTCATCCCTGGCATAGCTGGCATCACACCTGCCGCCAAGCCAACTGTAAAGTTTGCGGGCTAAGGCTTACAACTGTATCATCCCCCGCTAGATTGAGGGAGCTGGCTGGCCAGCCATGTCCTATGACTATGATGGACCTTGTACCTTTTGGTGTTCATTATACTCACTCCTTTAGCATTGAGGGTGTTAGTTGGGGATGGCGATGTAGGTGTAAGCTGCTCCTCAAGATGAACTCCCGCGATGCAGCGTGGCATCGCGCTTTTCGTTAGGGTACCTGTTTTCGGCTTTGCCAAGTTCTGATTCAAAAACGAGAGTAGGGTTTTGGAATCAATGGGTTGCCACTTAAACTTAACTCGAGTTCCTGAGTTCCTGCTCTTCTCAGATTTTTCTGGCACGATAATTGAAAGCCATCACAGGGCTATGATGTAGGCAAATTGAAAAACCCACTGACAAAATGTCTGGCCCGAGGAGTTTCAAGTGATGTGACCGTCTAGGTTAAATCAATGCTAATGTTGGGGCGCAGCCTGCTGCTTGCCTACGCACAGCGAAAAGCTGGAGTTGCCGTCCTGCATCAGTTAGAAGTAGAGCATGGAGACGCACAGGACAACCATTGTGTTTGCTGGCTGAGGCCGCACAGTTGTGCAGTTCTTCGTGCAAACGCGTCTGCGGGCATGGCGCTGCCGGTGGGCACTGGCAGTTGGCCTTGCGCGCAGCAACTCGGCCTCGAAGTGCTCGGCATTGTCAGACGCAGTCTTGATGAGCTTTGCTTCGTGATGCTGGAGCCAGCTGAGGCCATGCTTGTCTGACTCTTGGCTGCTAAGGTGCTGATCTGAAGTCTTAAGCTTTGAAACTGTTCCTTTTTGAGGAGCGCGGTGCTTACCAGTTCGAGTGGCTGATACACCATCCTTCCTCGGTAAACGGCTCTATCAAGAAGGAGCAGTGTGCAGTAGGCTTGGGCAGAGCATTTTGGTTTTTATTTTGTAGCAGCAGGGGTCCGATGCTCGTTGTGCAGGCTTGCTCCTGCAAAATGATTTCTCGGAGCTCTACCGCACTAGCTGCCTTGCTGCATCAGAGAGAAGGATAATTAGCGTCTCACTTGTGATCTGCGGCCTTGATGCGCAGATGTTTCAGGCTGCGCCACTTTGGATGTGACGTTGGACACCAGGATGGCACAGCAAACCCCTGACCGACGCCTGAATGACTTGCAGGAGGCCATGGGAAGAGTAAGATACAGAAAGCATTGTCTGCAATTTCAGTGACTTAGCTAAGATGAGATGGCTGACAGGCAAAGGAATCAGTCAAGATCAGCCTGACGCGGCGAGGTGTGGAAAGTCATGTCGCAAGCAGCTCCTGTCCCCACAGTTGCTTCCGTTCAGGATGCATTTTGAGGATGCAGCTACTCTTCGTGGACTCGACTTTGTGGATCTCAATGCTTCTTGCAAGCGTTTGTGACCGATGGAGAGGTGGTTACACCTGGGTTGTGCCCAGGTTCTTGAATGACATTCTGATCGATGCCCAAAGTCTTGTACTTCCACCCAAGTCTGTCCTGGTTCCATTCGTGCATCGAGGACCGCAAAAAGCTTCGCCATGCAAGGCCATACCATGCGTGCAAACATAAAACAAGTTCAGTGCAATCAAGGCACATGGGATTGCGCGACACTGAGAGCATCGATTTTGAGCTCGGTGTAAGCAGCTACTGTTTGCATCACGTCGCCATTGAGGGCTGGCCAAATGTTTCAGTCGCTTCCGAGTCTTTTCTCGGGCTTCATGGCAGCATCTAGGTGCAATGATTGATTGTGCCTTGCAAAGTCCAGTCTGAGGTTTGACCTTCGCCCCTTGACTGCATTGTTGCAGTTTGGAAGCTGTCAAGCGAGCTGGCTGGAAACTGGCTCTGAGGATTACTTCAAGTTCCAACTCCCAGGCAAGAAGGCCTAACAAGTGCCGTGCGACCATAAGATTCTGCTGAGCTGTAAGTCGTCCCTTGAAAGGAGCGTCTCAGCCAGCTGCCGGTATCTCACATGATATGGCCCAGCTTTGAGCACGGTATCACTCCTCCAGCCGTATCCACATCAAACTCCATTTATGCTGCTGCAGCCTCAGATGCTGGCTACCGGCCAAAAACACTCAGGGAGACAACTTTGCCAGGCCTACTGCAATTTCCGTGACTTCGAAGCAGATGTTCTGCCGCATCCAAGCAACGCGCCATCCTCAGACAGTCAATTCCTGCCAGATGCTTGACGTGAAGAGCTACATGTTTGAACGTGCCACCCAACCCGCAGGACACCGTGCTGGAGCGAATCAACATCCCCTTGCTGGATCCGCGAGCTGAGAAAACGCGCGCGCTCCTGGAAGCCATCCTGGAGGGGGCCCTGCGGGACAAAGACTCAGGCAGCCAACTACCCGGTATAGAAAGCGCGTGAGACTTGTCAATGCGAACATGCTTAAAGCAAGTCACCACTCAAAGGGGTATCCCAAGCCAAGAGCAATTTCAGTATAGCTGTTGTGTTGGCCTGGTTTGTTTAGTCAACATCAGCTTGTTTGACGTGAGCGGTCATGATGCTGATGTTCAGCAAGATATGCGGCAGAGACAGCCGCCTGCGATAGTGCCACAGGCGAGGTCCGATTTCCAGAGGATATGCCACTGCTCGGCGCTATGTGCTCATCGGAGCAGATATGGAGGCCGTCTGCCCTAACCAAAACAGCTTCAAGACGGCTTCATCCTGTTCCAGGTTTGTGGCCCGCAAGCGCAAGGAGTCTGAACTTTACTTGGCAATCGAAGCGCTGCTCAGACTCTTGATCAAAAGTTGCTGGTGCTGACGGCCACGTCTGAGCATGCTTGTTTGAGCTGCAAAATTCGAGGCAGCCGGGCTACGTTCATGGGCCTTGCCGAAGCAACAAAGCGGAAGCGCTATGCTCTGCTGGCGCTGGGCATCCTGCTACGCTTCCCTCATGCCTATGAGGCCGCAGTTGCTGTGGTATTTCCATTAAAACACTCCTAGCGGCACAGGCCTTATTCGAGATGGGATTTCTGCAAGTGATGGCGGCAGAAATTTCAACTGGTTTGCAAGCAGTGCATGATGAGGCTTCAGCCAACTGCTTGCAATTGGAATTGCGGTCTAACAGCAATGAGGTCATGAGTCATGACCAGTCATGAAAGAGTCCTGGTGTGACTGAGGACACCAGTGGGCTGACAGCTCGCCTCAGCACTCGAGCGTTGCGAGCGGATTCCTGGAAAAATCGTTTGCAGGCGGCCAGGAACATGAGCTTTGGTTCAATTGAAAGACTACTGCACTAGTGCATGCTAGTGCAAACTTTAAGATCTGGTAAGGTATTCGCTACTCAGCACAACCTCTCACCTGGTCTCTCCTGTGGAAGCGCCAACTTATATAGACGTCTTCAGCGAGACGCGCTCACTGGCCATAGCCTCAGCCTGGCTTCAGAAGGGCTTACAGATTCCCATGTGGAACCAGCAAGAAGATGCAAGAAGCACGTGGGCTTCAAAAGCTTAGGTCGGAACCAGTACACAGGAACGTGCTGAAGTCAGCTACATACTCCAGGAATGCCAGGACCTGTCAAGCAGAGACTTTTCAGTGCTGGAGGCTTGAGTACGCGCTGCGACTCTTACCTTACCAACAGCCATGTCAAGAAAGCTTCACAGGTCCTTCACTGGCTTAAGTTAAGTAACATCCTTTTGAAGGGGGCCCTCTAAATTTGAGGTCCAATAGATTCATCCTTGGGACATCTTGGGATGAAATGTCCAGAAGGAGCCACTGTCAAAACGCCTAAACTGTCGCTAGAAAACAGGCCACTTCTTGTAAATGGAAATATTGAGAAATTTCACATGGCATGTTTGGCGCTTTTATTTCTCCGCCGCGAAGCCTCATGCGCTGGCCCAGAAATTGAGCGTGTGGTTATCAATTTATTCAGTTCGTCATATGCTTGTGCTCGCCGCTTGTGGCTGAGCACCGGTGATGTCGGTAGCGTGCAGGATGCAATAGCCACGGACATTGGCAAGTTCACCGACGCACTGCGGACTTACTCGGTCTGGAACTCTAGCTCGTGTTGCAGGTAATTCGCGAGAGATGATTTGCTGCAAGTAGAAGTGCAAGGCTGGAGCCGTGGGGCTGCGGACTCCTGGATCTCCGGACAACGCGTCCGTCATCCTTAGTGACACTTAGCCGAAGTTAGCTGCCTCCTTTCCTGTTTCGGCTGAGTCCAGAACTTCTGTCATTGCTGTTGCTCAAGCTCCCGAATGATGCCGCGGCAATTGTATGAGTTGTTGCGGAAGACTGGTGATTCCGAGGTCCTGAACACATTGACCCACATGATTGGGCGGGACGAGCCTTTCGGTTGAAAGTTCTGCCTGGACCAGCTTCCAAGCACTTCTTCGAAGTGATCTCATTGCCAAAGCTGTCTTAGCTCAGAGCACAGCGGATCGGTTTGCAGTCTGCCGAGGTATCCGACGCGAGCTGCAGATGCTTGCCTTCGGGTCGAGGGGGGTTTTGTATTGTTAGTCAGGGACCCCATGTGTTTCCTTTACGCTGGGCAGATTCTCTTTCTGTAAGTGCATCTTGGTTTCAGACATGGGTGCTCCACCTTGAGATTCTATTTATGCAGCGCTGCGATCCTTCTCCTTCAAAACCAGTGCCATGTCTACCATATCCAAGAGCAATTAGGCAATTCAATGCATCGGCTTCTGCAATTGAAAATCGGCATCCATCCCATTGGTGTTTTGATTTAAGCTTATGAACATGGTGCCTAGCATCCATGCCGTGTGCAAGTCACTCCATGTCAAGGATGAGAACTGGCATAGCCCAGCTTGCCTTTCTCCAGGCTCAGCCTACTACCGAAAATATTCTTTGGGTGGTTTGTAGCCTTTTCACATTTTCTCCAACCTGTTCAAGAGATTTCTGAAACTAATAGCGGAACGCAACAATGGCTCGTGAAGCAATGCTTCCTCACTGCTCAGGAAAGCGAGCACCAGGCACAGCGTTTGAAGATGCATGCGTCCAGCAACGTCTACGAATGCCACATTCCAGATGCATCCAACATCGCCACTCAGCTAGTGCCATGTGATAATGTCAGCAAAGCAGGCTTCTGTTGACTTCATGCAAGGTCATCACGTTTGACAACATTCCTATTGGGAACGGCTCTGTGGAAATCCTGGAAGGTGCAAAAATGCTCAAGAATAGGAGACTAGACTGATGGGCTGCTGCAGAGCATCAGCGGCAGAAACAACAGCAGGTGGCATTCGTCGAGGAATTTGGTCGCGTTTCAATGCTGATGAAGCAGACACCTTCAAGCCAGAGCCCAAGCGGCCCAAGCATGCTGGTGACATTTGGCGTTGCAGCATGTGCCGGTTACAACATCATGGGCTCCCCTACTAAGGCCCTCTTACCCCCCTCTATACTACTCCCTAGGTTCCCCCCCTTGATTGAGGTTATTTAGGGAATCAGTGCGCGTGCAAACTGGCACCAAAAAACTGATTGCAAGTGTGTTGGCACACTTGGCACACTTGCTCGGCTGTCGGGATAATAAAGCGATTGCTACCACTTTGCCCCACTTGCAACACTTGACCCACTTGACACACTTGCTCTTGCAACGCACCTGGCCCACTTGCGACGCACTTGACCCACTTGCGACGCACTTGACCCACTTGCGATGCACTTGACCCACTTGCGATACACTTGACCCACTTGCCACACTCAATCCATTCCCTTCCCAGCTGCCGTAGTCGTCCTAGGTCAAGCGGGGCACGTGTGGTGCAAGTGGGCCAAGTGTGTCGAGTGTGCTGTGAGTGGGCTAAGTGGGGCAAGTGTGCTGCAAGTGGTCCAAGTGTGTCGAGTGTGCGAGTGGGCCAAGTGTGCTGTATAAGCCTGAATCCACTTCCCCAAAGTCTCCCTCAAAATAAATACAGTTTGAGGGAGACTTTGCGTGAGGCGGCAAGCCAGAAAATGCTGTCCGAAGTGTGTCACCCGGGTCAAACGGATCGCCAGCAGACAGGAGGCTGTAGAAGGCTTGAAAATCGCAGCAGTCTCCCTCACACAGAAGACAGTTTGAGGGAGACTTTCCTGGTGGGACGATTGGGTTGCCGCTTGCAGCCCACTTGACACACTTGCAGCACTCTTGGCCCACTTGCAGCACACTTGCCCTACCTGGCCCACTTGCAGCCCACTTGGTCCACTTGACCCACTTGCAGCACACTTGCCCCACTTGCACCCCACTTGACTCACTTGACCTACTCAGCGACGTGGACCAAGTGTGTCACGTGTGTCAAGTGTGCTGTAAAAGCAGGCGTGCCAAGTGTGCCAGCACACTTGCAATCGGTTAGTTTATCCAGAAACGCAAGTGTGCCAAGTGTGCCAACACACTTGCAATCGGCTAATGGTTCCCGCCTGCGCTCGCAATGGAATATTAGGCCTAATTAAAAGTACATTAGGGGCAACCTAGGGGGGTAGTATAGGGGGGGTAGTAAGGAAACTCATCATAACAGTACAGAACATTCGGGCGTTGTCCGAGGGTGATGATCCAATCCGCGACTTGATAGCAGGAAGGATTGATAAGGTTGTTCGCTGGTTTATTGGAAGCTTGCGGCCACAAGCAAGTGCAGCTGGCATGGACAGACCGGAATCCTCCCAAGGACACTTTCCAATGGAGATTCAAATATGAGTCCGAGGAGATCCTGAGCTCGGTGCAGGATCACGAGGCAGAAGCAAGAGGGTGGTAACGCGTGCTTACTATGCTGTGATGCTTTTTTGTTGACTTGCAGTGCACTGCAATGCGTTCTGGAGGACTCCGTGGATCGCGAAAATCGAGGATACCGCTTCGTGGTCCGTCCCGTGCCGCTTCTGCTGCAAGTACAGTAGCAATGAGAGTAATTAATTGCAGCTGCCATTGACTTCTTGACTTTGTTCAGTGCCCTGCGGCGTTTAGAATTCAAAGGTGGGACACCGACGACGCACAGACCATTCTTGCGAGACGGCAGCTCATTTTGGACAAGCCAGGCAGGCACCGCGCAGTCACCACAATACTCGCCATACCATGACATGTTTGATGCAAAGTGGACTGAAGCATGATTGTAGCAGAGCTGCTGCTTGGCAAGGCTTTGTGAAGCTTCTCACCAGCTTGCATTCGCAAGCAAAGGGCCTAGGTGTGGGAGGCGAGAAGGCGGGCGGCCGTGGCAAACGGCTGTTTGTAGGTGGCCGAAGACTCAAGTGTCAGAGGTCCAGAACGAAGTTGACTTGAAAGTGATCATGCTGCTGTCTTTTCTGGCACAACGAGGTGCCCTTTCTGATGCAGGGGTTGATTGCTGCCTTAACGCAAACATAAGCTCACAACCGTTTTTTGTGGCAGCGGATGGCTTACTGGACAGGCGGCAAGCCTCCACATCCTGCAGCTCGGTCCAGGTCGAGTTGCCTGAGAGTCAATGTGCCTTGGAATGGCTCAGGCTATGATTTCTGAAGATGCCGCCGTGGAGAAGATCATTTTCCAGAAGCTCTTCTTGAGAAGGGGGATTCATGGTTCATGAAGCTGCTTGCAGATTGAGGGGGCTTGAGGCTTATCTTCGATCATTGAGTCAAGCGTTGCTGAACCCTAGCTGGTCTTTCATTGTCATGAAAGTGTAATGAGTGAACAGCCAGAAGACTCTTCAGAATGACGCTACTTGAGGGCGCATGGTTCTTGAACCTGACCTTGTTGGTTGACGTGGGGCCATTGGTGCAGTGTTGGGAGAACAACAATACCGACAGGCCCAGGGCTCCAGGCAGGGCTCACCCATGCTGCAGCCGCCAAACGCCTAGTATCGTTTGATAAGACTAGTAGCCAACGCAGTGCAAAGGCAAGCACAAACAAAGCAACCGCATGATCTTCTAGCGTTTGAGCCTGTTGCCATGCTCGTCGCCGCTTGCCCTAGCCGTGCTGGGCATGCGCATGAGCATGCCCAACTGCCAGTGCGGATGCAGAGGCCCCAGCATCAACGCTGCGAAGGCTGCGAACCGCAATCCAGACAGCCGCATTGGCCGAAGCAGCTCCTGCCGTGCGCCCTGGCAGCGACTTCCTCCTTGAAGGTGCGCCAGTTGCGCAACGGCAAATGCCTGCCTCGGACGCCTCGACAATTCCTGAAGAGCCAGCCAGTAGAAGCGGCAAAAGGCTACATCCAGGCGATCGAAATTGTCCCGCCACCATGGTATCAAGCCTTGGAGGCAACGCTGATTGGGATTTGCGTGGGGTGTTTCTGCTTTGGCGAAACTAATCCGGGACAGGCTCGCTTTGTAGAGTCAGAGCCGTGGTTTGGATACAGCTCTGGGGGCCTCTCCATCGAGGATGCTATAAATTTTCTTTTCTGCACGGAGCTGGTGATGAGGGCCTGGGCCAACAATTTTCAGGCAAGCTGGTTCTTCCGCGGAAGCTCCATCACAGATCTGGTATCGTGCTTGCCTGTACTTGACCGCGCATTCGCGTTGACACCATCATCTGAACTCAGCTTAGAGCTCACCTTGCTGCGTTCCATCCGCTTTGTTCGTATTTTCAGGCTGCTGAAATCCACAGCTGTTGTTGAAGACCGACAAGGCCGAAGAGGAAGCTCCCTCGGTCTATCAGTGGTGCGAATCCTGGTGTCGGCAATTGGCACTCTGTCAATCTCAGCCGGTCTCCTTTGGAGAGTCGAGGGCCGAAACGGCGTCAATCCTGCTCTGAATTCTTTCGGGGACGCATGTTTCTTTATGCTCAATGTGTTCACGTCTCAGGGTGCCCCTTTCCCAGTCATCAGCACCGAGGGTAGATTTGTCACCAGCGTTGCCATAGTGATTGGGTTGCTCTCCCTACCAGTTCAAGTCTCGGAACTCTTTGCAGTACTTCGAAGTTGGAAGGCTGAGGAGGAGAGGAGCAGCGGAACCTTCAGCGATGCAATCATGGCCACAGATGCTCCTGATCTGTCGGAAGAGCAGCTGGCAGCGGACTTGAACCAGGATTTGCCAACATCTGACAACTTGGGCATGAGCTCGCCGGCCTTTCTATCCATATCAGTAGGTGATTTCTGCCGTGAAGCTGGAGTTGATGTTGATGCGCTCGAATCAAAGGCAGACGAATCTGATCCTGCTGACTTCTTTACAGTGCTTGAGGATCCTGCGACATCTGGCCACATCACACCGCACCCTCGAGTACGCATCAAGCTGGCAGCAGCCTTGGTGCGGAGGAAGCGATTGTACAAAGGGACATGAGCCACAGAGAAGCTCCGCATCGAAAATATCTGCAGCCATTCTATGTGGTTGTGGGTACACGAGCTTAAGCTGGTTCAAGGTCCAAAGCTGTCACGACTGAGACCAGAATCACTCGACATCCTCCTACCCATTCATGGAATGTTATTGTGTACTCTGAATAGTGTGGGCTCAGTTGTAACCTGTACCGCATGCCGGCTCTGATACGTAGAGGTGTGCATCGCTCTTACACTTTTGAGGTCTCCAGTTCTGGTTTGAGATGTGTCCAGTGTGGTAGGCAGCGGCCAGTCAAACGCCTGGGGATTTTCAGGAAGGGTTGCCCTGAAGAGGGCAGATGCAGATGGTGATGTTGTGGCATTTTGATTCAGTTGTCCATGGAAAAACTCAGTTGTACCGGCGCAGGGGTGCACGATCAGCACTGGCTCTAAGCCTGAAAGGCTTACCCGTAACAGCCCTCATCTCAAGTATTGAAGCTAAACTAACCGCCGCTGCTCTATGTCATCCGTAACACTACCTTGTCCCAAGTTCGCTGCCAGGACCTAATTGTTTTTTTAGAGAGGTTCTGAAGTCAGCTTAGTGGCGAGTGATTGCAGTCAGGATGATGTTCCAGCTCTTGGAGAACAGACCAAGCATTGAGCAGCAATGTGGGGTCGGTGGGAAAAGTACCTTGGCTAGAAGCCTTTGATGCCTGCTATTTCGGGGAGCGTACAGATCGTGAAAGTATTTATGAACGTCCAAAATGCTTTAGGGCGGATGCTGCTGGATCGGCAGCACATCTCTGTTGCCCGATTTTACCATGGCGTCTCATCAAGAAGCTTGGACTGACCAGCATGTAGATGCACAGCATGCAGCCAGTCAAGTTTTCATGATTTCGCGGGTGGCTACCTCAGGCGAAGAAGGGCGTCAGCATTTTGCCTACCACCAGGAGGTCCAATTAGTGTTTTGCCAACAGATCCCCAACTTGAGCTGTAAGTGCGAGGCCATCATGAGGATAGTGGACATTGCCAACAACAACACTCAAGGTACTGGCAAGCCGGACTGCCAGCCAACACCGCATCAAGCGCTTTGCAGCTTGGCTTGAGCTCTCAAGCAAGCTACTGCAAGCTGTCCGCTGAGTTGGGAAAAATGCCTGGAAGGCCACGGGGGGGAGTGAAGCTGCGAAAAGCTCTAGGAAGTTTCGGGAGCCACTAAAAAGACCAGGGAGTTCCAGGAAAAACGGTGCTTCAAGAGACCTTTCAAGCTCTTGGCCTAGGGCTTTCTATGTACCTGATGCTTAGGCTACGATGGCAACTACATCATCCGCTGCTTAACCAACTTCTCCAACAAGCCATCAAAGCGCTTCTGACGCAAAGTCACAGTGCACACAGCCTGCATGATACAGCGGCTTTTTGCCCAGGTGGGCCTTATCAACCTCTCTCAACTTGCTGCGACCAAAGCAACATGCCGCTGGCTGGATGTGCGAGTTCGCTCGTGGAGAGGTAGTGAGGGACCAAGGATCGAAAGAGGGAAGGACGGTCATGCTTGAGCCCGTCAGGCGCCAGGTCCCAACTTAGAGTCTTTTTGCTCAACAGGTCTGGAGCCTCTCCTTGCACATCTTCCTTATGGATGAACACCGAGCCGAGCCACGGCAGAATTATATTCATCTATCTTACAGCAGTTTTCTGGACGAGTTCTGCCCACAGTGGTGGCAGCGGCACAACCAAGGATGTGCCAGCAATTGTCTTCTACAAGGGCACGTCACCATCAGAGGTGCAAAGCATGTGAGTCCTGCTTTCTTCCATGTGAAGTCTCTTGCCAGGTGCAGCTGGCAGTTGGGGTGGGCCATGCGACTACCGTGGCAACTGAGACGAAGGCTGGTGAGTTTTGGGCTATGCTGGAAGGGGTGCGACAAGTCGACAAGTATCCAAAGAACGCAAGCAGTGCAGTCCAGGTCATTCCTGGCTGTCATCCCATCATTGTGAGGCCGCAACTCGCGAGTTGAGCCAAAAGAAGCCAGATGGGAGGTCACATGTTCGCCCTGAGAGGTACACCCATGATGGTCGCCTTAAAACGCTCACCATTGCCAATAAGTTTGTGGAAATCTACCGCTGGGCTCATTTGGCCACGGGCTGAGCCGGACTGGTTGCACGAAAAGATGAAATTTCAAAGCTGCAAACTACGCTTCCAGGTTGTGGCCATTGACAGCGTCAGGGACTGTGTGTTGTGTCCTGCATTGTCTTGCAATGCCTGATTCAAACTTCGCGCTTCATCAGCTTTGATAAGGCAAACATGGCAGTCGTCATGAACGGCGAGCTCATCCAGACGTACACACTGCAGTGCGAGCTAACTGCAACGGGCTCAGCTGTTGCAATGTCCGGAGGTGGGGTGTTGGGTGTGCTCATGATCACTGATGTAGCTGCTAAGGTGAACTTCCAGCCTGGGCATCAGGACACCTTTCTTGGTGCTCCTCCCTGGGAATATGGCAGGTCCACAACTGCATCCGCATGGGCCGCTTGGTTATTCTATTCACATCGGGCATCATTCTTGCACGTGCTTGCAAGGGTTGGCTTTTCCCTGGGTGCAATTGGTACGGAAGATGAGTGTGGAAGTTGCGTGAGGTCTACCAACTAATGCTGCTGGGTGGCACAGCCATGGAGCCGCAACATGCCAAGGAGGTGAAAGCCCAGGATGAGCTAAAGGCGCGAATTCAATGATTTTCATGCCTTATTGAAGAGGTCATGATGCGGCATAATCATTGACGTCCCCTTTGCGGAATCCATCCATCGCACTTCTGTATGCTCTTGACACCAGTGCAAGATCAGTGACCTGCCTGTGCGAAACCTATCGAGCACTCTCCTGCAAGCTCGCGCATGCTCCTAACAGAAGTGCTTAACACATACCTGTTCATCCTCTTTGTTACCCTGATGATGAGTGTCCTGTTTCGCTGAAGCTATCAAGCGTGCTCCTGACACTTGCGCATGGTCTTTTTAAGCGTACGTGCTGCATGTTTGGCAGAGTGATGTCCAGGTGGTGGTCAGCCCAAAGCTTGGTATAACCAGAACTGGCCTGCACCGCTGTAGGAAGTGCCATCATAAGGCCAGCAGCAAGGTTTTGGCGAAGCAGGTTGGAGCCACCAAACCCAGCCAACTAATAAGTCAGGGTCCAAGGTCCATCCCGAGCCAAGGAGGACACAAGCCAGCTGAAAAAGGACAATGGCTTTGCCAACACTCATCTTTGATACGCGATGGTGGAGGGTATGCACCAGGAAACCCTTCGTGAACAGCAAGCACACAGCACCCGATGTGCCCGGAATTGCGGGCTGAGGACCTCCTCGCATCACGAAGTGATGTGTGCCAGCATGGCCTGAAAGACTGGGCAAACATATGCGAAGGTGTATTGGGAAAGCTGCCGCTCCAGGGCAGTTTGAGAATGTCGTGACGAAAAGAACATTAGCATGATCCGCATGAGAGCAAAGAAGAGGAAGCGCATAGTTAAGGAAGCCTCACAGCTTGCCAGGCCCAAGAGGCCACATGTCTTCCAAAGCGGTAGATGGCTATGAGCATCAGAGACGAAATGGTGAGTACTAGCACAGCCATGATCAGCCACGCATGGGGTCAGGCGTGGCAAGACAACGGCACAGACATGCAACACTTCGACTACAGCCGACTCGGCTTGACTGGGGCTGATGATCTCCCAGATCCTGCGTCTAAGCTGCCCAGATAGTACAGATGTTTTGATGTGTGACCCTTGGACTGATTTGTTCAGGTGCATTTGCCCGGCTTGCCTGTGCAGATTTTCGATGCCCGACTGAAGGCATCGCTTGCTGGCTGCATGCTAGGTTGTAAGGACACAGCTCTGCCGCGCCATTCCAGGTCGCGTCGGAAGAAGGCATCGAAGTCTTGTGTGACCTACTCAAGGATCCCCTGGAGGCAACATGCACCGCATGTTCCCCATGTCTTGCGTAAAGCAACAAAGCATTTCCGCGAAGGCGCAGAAGCAAGCTGCCGGCCAAGCCCTGCGAAATTTGGCAGATCCAGCTGTCGTGACAAACATGAGAAAGGCTTCAATCTCAGATTTCTGGAACGATGATCGTTTATGATCGTAATGTATTCTCCCTCATACCACTTGTTCTACGCTCGTGGTGCGAGGTTGTCAGCGTCCTCTTGCGCAAGCAGCTCACCAGCATGTACGTGCATGCATGCTACCATAACACGTCCGAGTAGGTAAAGGCATGCCGTTTGTCCACCGTCCAACGCTAACCTTGTCGGAAAGTACGTCAATGCCAGGTCCATAGATCCGGACAGCGGGGCAGATGCCAAAAAGATGGACAATGTGTACAGCGTGATGCTAGAGGACGGGCCCACGACATGTTCAAGCCAGGTATGCCTCGTCAAAATTAAGCAGTTACTTTTAGCGCATATCTCCGCAGGCACGAGAGGCGGCAACGTTTGAGGCTGTGGCCGAGTTAGCTACCAACCTGCTGACCTGGACTCCACCTCCCGGTGAGGACAGCAAGAATGCCTGCAAGCTAGATAGAACAAGAGCAGGGGTGCATGCTACTTGCATACAACTATACATGGGCCCAGTCGGTTCGGTCATGCTTGAGCTCGGCCTACGTCACACATACTTCAGGGCTTCAGCTAGATGCTGCCCATTGCGCTGGTCCATACAAGGACGGAATTGATCGCGAAGCGCGACTGGAACTCATCAAGCACATCGTCAAGCAGCACCCAGATCCTGTGGTGACTGAGGTGCGTCTGCTGTGGTGGTAGATAGAGAGTCAAGGATTAGACATGACATGAAGCAAGCTTTAGGCTCGCGCTCCCATTGTCGTGCACCAGCTCTTGATGCTCATCCACTTTCCAGAGAATGTGCAGCACGGCGCCCAGCATCCGATGGGCTATAAAAGCTACAAGGAAATGCAAACGTGATGTTTGCGAATTCAATGAGTCTAAAGGTGCCTAGCTGACCCATCGGTCGGAGCAATGGGCACTTTCTTCCGCTCCCTGGATCCGAAAAAGTAAACACATCAGCTACAGCATGGATTGTCAGCCACTGCATGAGGCTTTTTGACGTCAAGCTTCACAACCGTCCTCCGTACGCAGGAGCACCGGAGCACTGGCAAAGTCCAACTACAAGCCCGCATAAGCCTGCCCTAGCCATGACATGCCGATGGCATTCAGGACCTTCTGATCAAACTACTTGCTGGCCCGTCCCCAGAGCTGCGTCAACACTGGGCCGAAGAGATCTGCCAGGCCCCGCAACAAGCACAGCATTGTTTACCTGGCTTCCCCAAGAAACCCGCGACGAATGGATGACTAGGAATTGTGGGGTCTCACGTCCATGAGTTGCACAACAGAAAGATTTGCCCAAGACGGCACCAAGATGTTTGATGTTAAGCTAGAGCCAATTATCTGTAGAAGAACTGCTGGCCGATAAGCTGGGACCAGGGCGAGAAGTTCCAGCGCTTCATGCAACAGATGATCCGACGAAAGGATGACCGACGCATAAGTGGACAGCGCCTCGCTGAGAGCAACCGGAGGGGCATTTGTGCGCACACCTTGTGCGGCTTGTTGCTCGACAAAGCCTAGGTATCGTGTATTGATGAACTTCGTGCTACAGCAGTGGCTTGGTTAAAATGGAAGCGAATCATCTCACGTCATTTCACACGTTCCGCCAAGCTGCTGAGGGTTCAGTGTGCCCTTTTCACAGCCGTTTCTGTTGAGCTTGCACACAGTCTACCAGCAGTGCAGAAGTTTGCAGCTGCTTGCTTGGGAGCTATCTTGGCCTTTGTGGTCAAGCTTGCTGCCATAGCCACCCTGAGGTGCAACCAACGCCGCCTGATGGCCACGCTCTGTGCCATCCGTGATGATGATCTCTCAGTAGATGAGCAACTCCTGGTTGCGCAGGCCCCTCGTTTCAATGACGTGTGTATGTGTGGAGTGTCAGACTGGATTCGACATTCCACCCCCGTGCAGGTCTTGTACAGCTGCCTCTCCAATGTCCAGCCGGCAGTAGCTTGTCAATGAAACAGGGGGAGTCTTAGCGCATAGCATAGCTGTCGACAGAGTATCACACAATCCTACTGCCAGATACTGCTAGCAAACTGCCATTCCGCTCCATGCTTTCGCCATCGGCTCACGTTCGTGGCTGCAGCTGAGGTGGCAACAAAGCCAATCCAAGCCCCCGACACCCTTCGAAAGGCGCGGGCCAGCGAGACAGGCCAGAACGCATGCTACCAAGATGCAACTGAAGCAAGCAGTAGAAGCACGGAGCTGAAAGGTCTGGGTCAGATTATGAAGCTCCGCGTGCCCGGGGCACCAGGGCTCATCGTCAAAGCCGTGCCTCAACTTGGACGGCAGGCAGCTGTCTGTCTCTGATCCTGTGCTTTGCTCCTGTCACACTGTCTCCAGGTAGGTGATGGCTTCTCCGGAGTCACGCGGCTAATCGACTGGCAGGCTTGTATCAGATGGCAGTCTAGCATCATTCCTCCTCTCTAGCTGCCCGCAGGAGGCACCCATTGTTGTCGACCCAAATGAGATCATTGTGTGGATAGTTCTGCGCTCAGCTCTTGGCTCATCACGTGCCAGCTGCTCGGAGCTGGCTTGTGCAAACTGGCGAGGCAAAGACTGAATCTGCACTGCAACAGCCTGTGCACAAGCGCGAGGACGAGCCATCCGCAAATCAAGCTCGCATATTCCTTTGGCAAGAGGTGAGAGTAATGCCACTCCACATGAGCCTCCGAGGCCCCAAGAGCTCACGAGAAAAGCTTGATTCTGTTCGCACAGTTTGGTGCGGTTAGAGAAACGAAAAAGGGAAAGGGATGAAGAGAAAGAAATAAGTAAAAGAAGGTACGACATGAGATATTCCAGGCTGTGGATGACTTCTCCACCAGTCCATGATGGGGCTTACTAGAACTGGGACTCTGTGGGATCGACTTATGTAGAACGTACCTCGGACGCACTTAATGCAACATTTGGGAGATGCTAAGAGCGTGACGAGCCCAAAAGTACGTCAAGCCGAAAGTGCCACAATTCCCGTATCCGACAATGAGCAAATCCATCTCCGTTGAAGAAGAACATACTGTTCCTAAATATATGAAAAAGTTTCCAGAAGAGAACGGAACCTTGCCAAGCCTGCTGCTATGCTAAACTTACAGCAGCAAAGCCAACATGTTGTAACAAACGTGTACAAGCCAATCTGATTAGCAATGCATGTTGGAAACATGACTAGATGTCTGTTAAAGGATTTCTGGGTCCTCACACTGAAGCTTGACTGCTTGTGAAAAAAAACATTTGCTGCTTGTGGAAAACGTGGTATGCCTTGAACTGAAGGTTGGTCCTAAACCGCTCTCTGCACTATCATCAAACAGGCACTGATTGCAACGCTGCAAGGTCTACGACGCAGCATGCTGGTATGTGAAAACTGCTTGCTCTAATCTGGACACCGCCCGGGGCTTTCCTTTCTCAAATCTTGGCACCACAGAGGGCTGCCTTGCTGGTACAAGAGAATGATCATTTCTCTCCTCCCATGCCACTGGTAGCTTCGTTAGACACAGTCCCAGTGACTGTGTCCCCCTGCATGTTGCTTGCGGAAAGTGTTGTTCAAAACGCGCATGAGTGCTTTGCATGTCATGTTCAACCATGTTGGGAGTGACAATTCATCCTTTCCAAGCCCCTTGAAGGAGTGCAGGATGATTCTGGCTCACACAAGG